TTCTTAACTTGAGTTGAAGGAGGGCTGGCATATATAGCAGAAAACTCTGTGTCCTAAGAGTGGCAAGAATTATATAATCCCTGTTACTTGCAGTTCGTGTCCTCAATGCTTATTGCTAATTATCCAGTATGAATGTTGCATGTATAACTAGTCTGAAGTATTCAAAAGGAGGTAGATGAGTAATTCATAGGTAAATTGTTGATAAAACTGCGGTCCCTCTACCTCCCTGATACACCAGGATGCGGTGTGACTGACATGACACTGCAAAAGAGAAATAGTTTTCATCTCGCTGCACAGATGTGACATTATGGTTTAGAGTACTGTTTCTCAACCTTTTTCTGACGTGGCCCCCTTCCAACCTTGTTTCCTTTCTAGAATCATAGAATCATAGAATCATAGAATCATAGAGTTGGAAGAGACCACAAGGGCCATCGAGTCCAACCCCCTGCCAAGCAGGAAACACCATCAGAGCACTCCTGACATATGGTTGTCAAGCCTCTGCTTAAAGACCTCCAAAGAAGGAGACTCCACCACACTCCTTGGCAGCAAATTCCACTGTCGAACAGCTCTTACTGTCAGGAAGTTCTTCCTAATGTTTAGGTGGAATCTTCTTTCTTGTAGTTTGGATCCATTGCTCCGTGTCCGCTTCTCTGGAGCAGCAGAAAACAGCCTTTCTCCCTCCTCTATGTGACATCCTTTTATATATTTGTACATGGCTATCATATCACCCCGTAACCTCCTCTTCTCCAGGCTAAACATGCCCAGCTCCCTTAGCCGTTCCTCATAAGGCATCGTTTCCAGGCCTTTGACCATTTTGGTTGCCCTCCTCTGGACACGTTCGAGTTTGTCAGTGTCCTTCTTGAACTGTGGTGCCCAGAACTGGACACAGTACTCCAGGTGAGGTCTGACCAGAGCAGAATATAGTGGCACTATTACTTCCCTTGATCTAGATGCTATACTCCTATTGATGAGGCCCAGAATTGCATTGGCTTTTTTAGCTGCCGTGTCACACTGTTGGCTCATGTCAAGTTTGTGGTCAACCAAGACTCCTAGATCCTTCTCACATGTACTGCTCTCAAGCCAGGTGTCCCCCATCTTGTATTTGTGCCTCTCATTTTTTTTGCCCAAGTGCAATACTTTACATTTCTCCCTGTTAAAATTCATCTTGTTTGTTTTGGCCCAGTTCTCTAATCTGTCAAGGTCGTTTTGAAGTGTGATCCTGTCCTCTGGGGTGTTAGCCACCCCTCCCAGTTTGGTGTCATCTGCAAATTTGATCAGGATGCCCTTGAGTCCATCATCCAAGTCGTTGATAAAGATGTTGAATAAGACCGGGCCCAAGACAGAACCCTGTGGCACCCCACTAGTCACTCTTCTCCAGGATGAAGAGGAACCATTGATGAACACCCTTTGGGTTCGGTCAGTCAGCCAGTTACAAATCCACTGAGTGGTAGCATAGTCAAGACCGCATTTTACCAGCTTCTTTACAAGAATATCATGGGGCACCTTGTCAAATGCCTTGCTGAAATCAAGGTAGACTACATCCACTGCGTTCCCTTCATCTACCAGGCTTGTAATTCTGTCAAAAAACGAGATCAGGTTAGTCTGACATGACTTATTTTTCAGAAATCCATGCTGACTATTGGTGATCACAGCATTCCTTTCTAGGTGCTCACAGACTGTTTGCTTAATGATCTGCTCCAGAATCTTCCCTGGTATTGATGTCAGACTGACTGGGCGGTAATTATTTGGGTCCTCTCTTTTCCCGTTTTTGAAAATAGGGACAACATTTGCCCTCCTCCAGTCTGCCGGGACTTCGCCTGTTCTCCAGGAATTCTCAAAGATGACTGCCAGTGGTTCTGAAATCACATCTGCCAGTTCTTTTAATACTCTTGGATGCAGTTCATCTGGCCCTGGAGACTTGAATACATCTAGACTAGCCAAGTATTCTTGTACTATCTCCTTAGTTATTCTGGGTTGTGTTTCCTCTGCTGAATCATTTGCTCCAAATTCTTCAGGTCGGGCATTGTTTTCTTTATCGGAGAAGACTGAGGCAAAGAAAGCATTGAGGAGTTCAGCCCTTTCTGTGTCCCCTGTTTGCATTTCACCATCTTCTCCTCTGAGTGACCCCACGGTTTCTTTGTTCTTCCTTTTGCTACGAACATACCCATAAAAGCCTTTTTTGTTGCTTTTAACCTCTCTAGCAAGCCTGAGTTCATTTTGTGCTTTAGCTTTTCTGACTTTGTGTCTACACGTGCTGGCTATTTGTTTGAATTCCTCTTTGGTGGTTTCCCCCCTTTTCCATTTTTTGTACACATCCTTTTTTAATCTTAACTCAGTTAAAAGTTCTTTAGATAGCCACCCTGGCTTCTTTAGGCACCTTCCATGTTTCCGTCTCATTGGTATTGCCTGAAGTTGTGCTTTTACTATCTCCCTCTTAACAAACTCCCAGCCATCTTGAACTCCCTTTCCTTTTAGTATTACTGTCCATGGGATCTCACCCAGCACTTCCCTAAGCTTTATGAAGTCGGCTTTCTTAAAGTCGAGAAATTGAGTCCTAGTATGCTTGGCTGCTCCTTTCCGCTGTATAGTAAACTTCAGAAGAGCATGATCACTCGCGCCTAATGATCCTTCCACTTCTACCCCACTAACCAGGTCATCAACATTGGTTAGGACCAGATCTAAAATGGCTGTTCCTCTTGTTGCTTCTCCCACTTTCTGGACAATGAAGTTGTCTGCAAGGGCAGTGAGGAATCTGTTTGACCTTATGCTCTTGGCTGAGTTTGACATCCAACAAATATCAGGGTAATTGAAGTCCCCCATTACTACTATCTCCCTTCCTTTTGCATGCTTGGCCATCTGTTCCAGGAAGGCATCATCTATGTCCTCCGTTTGGCTTGGGGATCTATAGTAAACTCCCACAATGAGGTCACTGTTATTCTTCTCTCCCTTAATTTTCACCCAAATGCTCTCACTTTGGCTTTGAGGTTCTAAATCTTGGATCTCTTCACAGGTATACACATCCCTGACATATAACGCCACTCCTCCTCCTTTCTTGTCTGGTCTGTTTCTTTGAAATAGATTGTATCCCTCCATTATTACATTCCAATCGTGGGATTTATCCCACCAGGTTTCAGTGATTCCTATTATGTCATATTTAGTTTGCTGTACCAGGAGCTCAAGCTCATCTTGTTTATTTCCCATGCTTTGCGCATTAGTGTACAGACATTGAAGTCCATTAATCATTCCCCCGTGTCTCTTATTTAAGGATTTTTTCCTCCCACCACTAGGTCTGCATGCTCTTTGCTCCATTCGGTCTATGACATTTGGATGATCATCTTCATCAATTGATAGACTCCTACCTTCAGGAGCACTGTCTCCCTCCCCCACATTAGTCAGTTTAAAGCCCTCCTGATGAGGTTTCTGAGATTTTTTGCAAAAACATTCCTCCCAACCGTTGTGAGGTGCAGCCCATCGCTTGCCAGAAGTCCATCTTCAAGAAACTGCATTCCGTGATCTAAGAATCCAAACCGTTCCTGTTTACACCATTTGCGAAGCCAGTTGTTCACTTCCACTATTTTTCCCTCTCTCCCTGGGCCACGTCGTTCAACTGGGAGGACAGATGAGATGACAATTTGTGCATTTAATTGCTTCAATTTCCTGCCCAGAGCCTCGTAATCTCTTTTGATCTTCTGGAGGCTATTGCTTGCAGTGTCATTGGTTCCCACATGAACCAAGAGGAAGGGGTATTTGTCAGTGGGTTTTATGATTCCTTGCAGTCGTTCAGTTACATCTTGGATCTTAGCCCCGGGGAGACAGCACACTTCCCGAGACATCTTGTCAGGCCCACAGATCACTGCTTCTGTTCCCCTCAGTAGGGAATCCCCTATCACCACCACACGCCTCCTCTTAGGTCTGGTCGGGGTTCTTCTGTGAGCTGTCCGTTCCAAGGTCGCCTGGACATTCCCTGAGGACTGCCTTTGCTGCTCGTCTTCATATACCTGATCGACTGTAATGAGGGAGAGATCCTCAAATGGAGTCTGCTCTTCGTCTTCCATAGTAGGGGAAAGGACCTCAAAGCGATTGCGTATTTCTAAACAATCAGAGCGAACCCTGGGCCTCCTACTTCTTTGAGTCACGTTTCTCCATATATCATATATTCTGTGCCCCACCCCTTTCCTACTGGTAGAAAGGTAGCTATTTAAATGTTTTGTTTGTAAGTAGAACATATTTCGTTTATAATTTTATAATTTATACAAAATACAGTCACATAAAAATATGTATTATTTGATCACTATGGTTAGTGACTAGAAACAAGCTTTTTTATATCCAGTTCTATTGCTGAGAGGGATAACCGAAGATCACCTCTGTCCATTATGTTAAGGCGATTCCGCATTAGGCTGAGTAAATGATTCTCACGACTGAAACCTGAGTCTACCAAATACAAAGTAGGAAATGCCATGAAAAACAATTTTGCTTGATCCCAAAACTTTAGATAGTGTACTCTTTATCCAACAATGGTCTGCAGCAACATATTTTCTTTCTATTTTTTTCTCTATTTTCTTCACTTCTCTGTTTTTCTTCTTCTCTGCTTTCTTTACTTCTCACTTCCCTCTGTGGCCCCCTCTCATGCTATGCCCCCCCCCCATTTACGCAATTTTCACCTATGCCCCCCTTGGAAAACACTGGTTTAGACCACAATTTCAGTGCAGTTGCGTGACTCCATTGGTCACTCCATTGGTCAGTTGTTGCACTGCATTCCACCGTAAACACATCATTGCCAGCACATCGGCTCGTATGAACTAGGTGCTTGTTTTTAAGTTAGCAGATGCCTTTTTGCAGCTTCTGGTTTCTCTACAATGGACACAGAACTTGAGATTCCTGTAAAATGTACACTAAGTGCTAAGTTGCTTCAACTGCCCTGGGATCTTTGGAGAAAGGGCGGTATATAACTCAAATGAATGAATAAAAACAAATAACTGATAATTTCTTCAATATTACAGGAAGCTCCACCACCAGGCTCCTATGATGTTCAGAAATCATTTGAGAAATCACAGTGTAAAAGTGAATACATGGCTCCCCGAACTGCCACGGCTAAAAGGAAGCATACTTCTTTTCTCAGTGGCTCAATTAGGCACGGTATATGTGAGGCCAAGAAGGATATGCCAGGTAGGTCAATTGCATGTTTTCCTCATATTTTTCAAAACTACAACTGCAAAATATTGTAAGAGCAGGGAGATTGTGTATATTACTGCTTTTATAAGTGTTATGTACTGAAGTTCTCACCCTGGGCCAGCAGGGGGATACTGTAGATAGTTATGCAAATGAAGGATCGAAAGTGATGTTCAGTGATTGGATAGTTTTAGAAAGTTGCTACAGTAACGTTATACTGGAGCTCTAGATAAGCAGGCTGACTGAGCCCTTCAGTTCAGTTCTGTTCTGGCCTGTGAATAAAGAAGAGCTGTTTGAAGAATCGCTGTGTCGTCTGATATGTTTGCCCACAACTTAACAATAGGCCTTGTGAGATCTCTGTATTACCACTGGTCACTTTGCTTTTTAGATGGTTAATAAAGAGGCATCTTTCATCCACACAAGGATTAATATGAATATTTGTGGTTGCTGTACACTTCTTCAAATGTCTGCAAACTTATTCTCCATGTCTGGAGAATAAGACTTTCCAGAATGGAATCTTTTGAGCAAAGATGGGACCTGAAAAAAGAGAGATGAACTGGTGCTTTCTGGAAATTCAGCAGATAACTGTTAATGATATGAAAGGTATATGCTACTTTGTAAAGCAAGCTAGCCAAAAATATTAATCGATATTTACTTATTTTGTTATATTTTTATCCCACTTTTTACCCAAAAGTTGGCTATTGAATATTGATTACACAGTACAATCTAACAATGAAAATTCAATACAGCAGTGAAAAGAAAATACAAGAAAACCCTCAGTATATACAACATTTGAAACCAATGCAAAATTAAATTGCCATTTCTACAAAGGAAAATATATTATAGATACCCCCCCCCCCACTTTAAAGTCAATAGATACAGTGGAAAGTTTGGACAATGCTGATGTTGCTGGATGGAATTAAATGTTCTGTGTAGTATCTTATTAATCTTGTAAAAGTATACTCTTAGCTTGACTCTTTTTCTTTCACAAATACCTTTTATAGTGTGTTAGATTCCCCCCCCCCCCAACACAGGCTGTAGTGCAATAGCCTGTATATTTCTTGATTAAAAAATAATTTGCAGGGACAAAATCTGTGCTAGTAAGTCTGTCCTTGTTAATTTCATGTTGGCAGTTTTAGAAAACCATGAAACAATATTTTAAAGACTTTTAAATCCTGCCTTACATTTGTGGCATTATAAAACAAGAGCTGTTGTAATTTGACACATCTTGTCGGGGGCTGGGGTGGGAAGATTGAATCTGAATCGGATTCCAGGCATACCCAACAAGTGCAGTGGAGATCTTGTGTACAGGACTGTACACGCAGCTGATGGCGTCTGGATCAGGGCAGATTTATTCTTGGTGCTGTGAGACAAATGCATTACATAAAATTAAAGTACGGCAATTGTATCAGCAGATGTTCATTTGTGTTTCATTAAAATTATAGTAGCCTAATACAAAAAAATCACTTGTGCTAACTTAATGAAAGTATTATCAAATGATGTGGCTCTCATTATAAAGCAATATCTTCTCATAATTAAGTTTTCCTCTACAGTTTTGCAAATGGTTTTATGAGTTACTCCCACATGAAATGGAGAACCAGTTGCTAACACAGGAAGCCGCAGTTGGCCAGAATCCAAGCGCTTGTTTGTTCTTATATGGCGGCTTGCGCCAGGGCAATTTTGGATTCCCCTCCCCATGGCAATTCTGTATTACAAAGCAAAATGCCCTTGGTTTCAGAATCAGTTTGCTTCGTGGCACAAGGGGCTGCTGATAAAGAAAAGAGTTTCAACCCACAATCCTGTATGTACTTACCTGAGAGTAAGTCCCTATGAATTTAGCATGGTTTACTCCTAGATTCATTAGACAAGAGATACTTGAGCATCATCATTTTTGTTAGCGCTTGGAATGCTCATTCACTCATTAGTTTAAAAAATACGGCCATGAAAAATATGTATTCATGTAAAAGCAGTGGAGGCAATCCTGCATTCAGAATTAGCACAGCTTGCTTCCTGAACGCATCCATCACTATCTCTTCTACTGTATTTGGTAGGTGATATGAGTCTTGTGCTCCACAGACTACTTCTCATGTGTTTGATGTTTAACAAATAATTAGTAATAATGTGGAGCAGTGCACTCCACCATAATTCATTCGTCGCGTTAGTTACAAAAGCTACTGTTTGAATCACTGTCCCAAACTCATTATGTTTCTTGGCACATTCTCACAGGAAATTACTTTAGGTAACAAATAGAATTTATCTTCAAAATTAATTGGACAGATCACATAAAGGTAGTTGTGTCCACTTTTTCTATGACTTCGCCCAGTACCTTTTTGTATAAAAGTTATTGTAGTGTGAAAACTAATTATTTCTTCTATTTGCTTGTTGGCTTGTAATATTACATTCCAAAATAGTTGGAAGTCTTTAAATCAAGACTGAGTTCTCAGGCTGAAAAAGTAAGAGTAAGCAGGTCAAATCCTACAGTTTTTGTGTACTTTCCCCCTTTTTCTTCTCCCTGTTGCAGATATATTCTCAGAAAATGTAGGACCAAAAGCTGGGGGTTTCTGCTATTCATAAAAACAATGGCATAATGAAAGTCATGTTAAGCAAAATCAAATTGCTCTTAAAATGGAAAATTTTAAACATGGCCAAAGTTCTGGGTTTATGGGGTTACTGATTGACACTAATTTCTTACTGTGTGGTAGTCATATAATTTTATGTTGTAGTAATATATACAGATATTGTTTAGATTTAAGCTGTTATCTTACAATTTTCTGTACTCATCTGCAGGTTAAATTAACTAAATCAGACACAGTTCTTGGTTTTCTGCTTCTTCTATGAGTAGTAGAATTATTATGAAAGCCATTAGTACATAGTGACTTAGCATAACTATCTGATAGTAGCTGATATAAAATAATAAAATTGAACTTTTTTTTTTACCAAATGCTGTGACTGTAGGCTTACTGAATATATTATATTTATCACCAGACCACAGCATATTTCTGTTCCGTATATTCATTTGAGAAAGAAATTATTGAGATACCAACATTTAAATTTGAATGTACCAGCTAGATGTTTTAAAATTTAAATCCAATTAGGGAGCTGCCAGGTTTACTGTAAGGGGGAGAAGGAAATGAAATATGGAGAGTCAAAAGAATCAATGCAAACCGCATTTTAATCATAGAAGAAAGATGTCTGACACCCATGGCCTACAAACTAGGTTGTTAGATTCTTTTCCTTGCCAGACTTTGTTATTGCTTTCATCCAGTCAAGATTCCGTTGTCCCTTATGTCTCTTAAACTTCCACTGATTACATTTTATTTCAGGGTTGCTTATTTAAACATTTATTTCCATATGGAAACATGTAACACATTCTACAGAAAATGTAAAATCAAAACATAATTTGAATAAACATAGGAACTGGAGATTACAATACCTAAACGGCACACAATTAAATTATGTTGCTTCATGATGAAATGTCACAACTTGTGTTTGAGAAGGATCTATATTCATTCTGGAAAAGGCAGTGGTATTTTTTTTGAGGAAAAAGAGGTGCCAGAACTCACCATGCAACCTCCCTTGCTCTCTTATAATGGCAATGGCACCCACCTAGGAGGTGCCCGAATTGAGTTCCTGTGAGCTCCAGCTGAAAAAAAGGCCCAGGCAAAGTAGTTTAATTCTCTCTTCTTTGTAAATGAGATTACAGCATTGTAATTTAAATATATTTATATTTCATATCTTCAGATTAAAATTAAGTTGTGAATGTGTGGGTAATAACTTTCTGTTTGTTAGCAGAGAATTTCCAGTTTTGTAATAAGTATATTGTCTCTTATTGCAAATAGAAAACATGATCATTTCCCAGTGTGCTGGTATAACAGTAGACTTTCAAATAAAGACCAACATCTCTCCTTTAAATTTCTAAAGAATTTTATACCTAGCCTGAAGTGGTAGTAGGAAGTCTTCCATGGGATTTCTTTGAACTTACAGATCAGCCAGTTTATATAGCTGTCTTGAAGTAGCAGTTAAAGTGAGATAGAAGCTTGACTTATTGGTAGATGGAGCGAAACTACTATCTAAGCTGCATTAGCTCTATGCTGAATAGCATTGATTTCTGAAAAACAAGTTGGTATTGTGAGGATCCTTTCAGATCTCACCTGACCTATAGGTATTTAACTGGAAGCTACATTTTTTTAAAAATCCCAAGAAACATTGTTGAGATACAAAATGCAATCAGGATTCTTCTGATGGAGAATTTGGTAGTGAACAGGCGAGAGTGAGAGTCCTACCTAGAGTAAGGTTACCAGATTTTTTTCAATGAATCTGGGGGGCACTTTTCAACCTCAATGGATTTTGTCAGGGGACTGATTTGTAAATCCGGGGACATCTGGTAACGTTTTTTTTTAAAAAATATTTTATTAGTTGAATATAAGAATAACATATAATCAAATACAGTTTTCCCCTAACCCCCCCCCCCAAAAAAAACCCCAGCCCCAATTACATCCAGGTAATTACATTAGTAATATAATCAAATAAAAAATTATTTCTACAGTTGCTCGTTTAAAAAGTATCATTCCACATGCTCCCATGTGTCTTTGGTGGTTTAAATGCATGTTCTTTTTTTAATGCATATGTAATAAAGGAGGACCACGTTATGTAAAACAGTGTTTCCCAACTGGTGTTCCGCGGCACACTAGTGTGCCGCGAGACGTTGCCTGGTGTGCCGTGGGAGGGAGGCGGGCGAGTCGGGCGGCGAGAGGCGGGGCGGCGGCGGCGAGAATCCGCGTCGAGCCGGGGGCGGCTCCGCGGTGGTGGTGCCGAGGTTTCTCTCTCCATTCTCCCCTCACACACACACACACAGGAAATAACACAGGATCAGCTGACAGGACCCGGCCAATGGGGCGGCGGCGGGGCAGCGTGCGCAAAAGGGAGGAGCACGAGACGGCGGCGGCGCAGGGCGGGAGGGCGGCGCATTGCGCGTGCTCAAACCCGCCCTCCGAGGC